GCTGAAGTAGTTATTAGATGAGATAACTGCTGGTCTTGGGGGTGGATATATTTTGCACATGGAGAATAACATGAATTGTTGAAAGGGAAGAATGAAATGGACTGTCTGCATATATGGTCACAATTAATTCTTCTCGCCTTGTGCACACATTCTGCTCCTTTAATCCAGGGGTCTGTTCTAAACAGATGTAAATAGCCATTATTCATTATTCATAACAGCCAAAAAGCAGAAACAACCCAAATGTCCAATAACTAATGAATGAATAAATAAAATGTGGTATATCCATATGATGAAATGTTATTTGGCAAGAGAAAGGAATAGAGTACTAATCCATGTTCCAACATGGCTAAACCTTAAAAGCATTAAGCTAATGTTTTAGGAAAAAGCCTGTCACAAAAGACCAAATACTATATAATTCCATTTATAGGAAATGTTCAGAACAAGCAAATCCATACGTAGAAAGTGAATTAATGGAGGAAGAGAGTTGGAAAGAGTACAGGGTTTCTTTTAAACGTAATGAAAACACTGTGGGATTATAGCACTAATGGTGGGAAAATTCTGTGGATATTCTAAGTTGTATACTTTATAAACTTACACTGGATTGTATATTTTAAAAAAAATTTTTTTAGTTGTAGTTGGACACAAAATCTTTATTTTATTTATTTATTTTATGTGGTGCTGAGCGCATTGCACGTGTTAGGTGAGCGATTTACCGCTGAGCCACAACCAGCCCCTGGATTGTATATTTTATAAACTTTTTTTTTTTTTTTTTGGTGGTGCTGGGTTTGAACCTAGGGCCTTGTACATGCTAGGCAAGCACCTTAGTATACAATCCCTAGCCTAGATTGAATACTTTAAATGGGTGAATTATTTTTTAGGAAAGTCACTACCCAAAAAAGGGGAAGGGGGCATGGTATCTCTTTCCCCTCCTGCTGGCTCTGGCTGGCCTTGTGACTTGCTTTGAACCCTGGAATACAGGGTATGTGATGCTGTGCCAGTGCTGGGTCTAGCTATCAAAGCCTGGCAGCTTCCACCTTCACCCTTCTTGGAACCTAGTTGCCATATAAAGCAACTCGGCTAGTCCACCAATGATGAGAGACTGTGCATAGAGGGAGGCCTCCCGGAGGCAAACCAGTACCCTCGTCATGTGAAGGAGGCCATCTTGGATATCCCAGCTGCAGCCAGGCTGACAGCTGAATTAAGTCATACAAGTGATCCCAGGAGAGAGCACACAAAGCAGAATTTCCTCAACTCCCAGAATCATGAGAAATAATCAAACCATTGTTATTTTAAGCCACTGAGTTTTGGAGTGATGTGCTATACAATTCATAACTGAAACATGGCCTCTGTGAGCCTCAGATTCTACCTGTTACCTGGGACTGATACTACAGAGTTGTAAAGATTACAAGAGGCTAACATCAAGCACTGTGCTCAAGAAATACTAGTTGTTGTAATTATCATGACAAAAAAAAAACATCCAAGAGATCCTTGACATAACCTACAAGTGTGTCCTCTGGGAAGCCTATTCCCACAAGCAGCTTCTGCTTCCAGTCACAGTTTCCAAAGGGCTGGTTTCTTGAGACAAATAAAAGGGGATTGTTGTTATAGTTAAAATCTGAAAAACAAACTCTGAATGATAAACAGATGAGGAAGAAGGTTCTGCTTAGATTAGCCATCTATTTCACCAACCCAGCCATACATCACACATTTGTTAAGACCTCACTAGGTACCAGAAATCATTTAAGAATGGCTAGGGGGGCTGGGCAAGGTGGTGCATGCCTGTAATCCCAGTGGTTTGGGACACAGGAGGATCACAAGTTCAAAGCCAGCCTCAGTAATTTAGTGAGGCCCTAAGCAACTCAGTGACCTATCTCTAAATAAAATACAAAAAAGGGCTGAGGATGTGGCTCAATGGCAAAGTGCCCCCGAGTTCAATCCCTGGTACCCATCCCCCCACACACACACACAAAAAGAATGGCTGGAGGAATAAAAAAGAATGACATTATGACTTTTGCAGGCAAATGGATGGATCGGGTGACTTTCATGATAAATGAAAAAAGCCAATCCCGCCCCCCCCCAAAAAAAACAAAGAATGTTGGTTTTGAATGTTCTCTCTGATATGTAGATGCTAATACACAAGGGGAGGTGGGATGGGGAAGAACAGAAGTTTAGTGGATTAGACAAAGGGGAATGAAGAGAATGGAAGGGGGATGGGAATAGGAAAGACAGTGGAATGAATCAGACATAACTTTCCTATGTTCATATATGAATACACAACCAGTGAAACTACACATCATGTAAAACCACAAGGATGGGGTCCTAATTAGAATAAGTTATACTCCATGTAAGTATAATGTCAAAATACTCTCTACTGTTAGGTATGTCTAGAAAGAACAACAACAAAAGAATGGCTGAAAGATATCTTTCCTCCTTTGAAAAAGAAACCTTTTCTAACTGTCTAGTCATTAATAGAATGACTAGACATTCAAGTGTGTACACTTGAACTTCAGCAGAGAGAATTTGTTGTAGTAGAAAAATCTAAAATCAACCCAGTAGGAAAGAAAAAATTTAAATTTTCATAGGGCTCAGATACACAGAAAGAGAACACAATTCTGATTCCAGAAATAATACCAAGAGCAAAGAATGAGATGGGCCCCCAAAGGGTTCATCCGTTGATGAGCCTAGACCTTCAAAAGGTCCAGTTCATAGAACCTGGACCCCAGATGAAATAACCTGACCACTTGGCATTATCTGCAATGTCTGGGTGCAATATGAGTTCAGGCAGTTAAAAATTCACAAACTAATGACAGAGAAAGAAATTCCTAGGTATATCTGTAGGAAAGGATGTTAAACAGCTTTCAACTGCATTTGTGAAATCAATCATGTTGATAACACTCAACTAAGAGAGTTGAGTGTTACTAATCATATCGATCTTCTTAATCCTCAGAAAAATATTTTTTTCTCAAAAACACATCAAGGGACTGGGTTGTGGCTCAGTGGTAGAGCACTCACGAGGCTCTGGGTTCGACCCTCAGCACCACGTAAAAAATAAATAAATAAAACAAAGGTATTGTGTCCAACTACAACTAAAAAATAAATTTAAAAAATATATCAATACTTAATTATACCAAATGTAAGAAGGAGGATCAAATCTGAGTATTTTCTGCATAAAGCTCAAACCTAGGAAGGTTCTAGACAAACTCAATAAAGTTCCAAATTCATCAAAAGCATATTAGAGAGTGGTATAAGCAAAACTGGCCTGGAAATGGACAGAAAGACCAGAAGGACTATGGGTGAAAGACATACCATGAGGTTCATACTGGGCTCAGTCTGTTGGATGACCAAATGCTATACCTTTTTTTCACTGATGAATAATACATAGGAAAGTGAAAAAATCCCAAATGTACATTTTGAAGAGTGATTCTATCTAAATTAAGATATGAACCATGTCTAACATCCTACTCACTCTAGTTCTCTCTCCCCTACTTAACAATAGGAGGTAACCACTATTCTGGTCTCTATCACCAAAGATGGTTTTTGCCTGTTCTTAAATTCCACACAAATTCACATATAGTATGGGGTCTTTTTGGTCTGTTTTTGTTCATGAAGTTTATTTTCAGACAATCTCCCCCTGAGGTGACAAACCTGAATGCTAACTACTCTGATTTCACTAGTTATACTTCTGCACTTTTCTAAGCATGTACTATAAAAGCTCTTACAACCAAACAGATCTCCTTGAAGATAAACTAAATTGTTTAAAGGCTTTCAAATACTGTATTCAATCTTAACAGAGCTTATGACTTGACAGTATACATCTTTCCCATATTGATTTTAAAATTCCTATTAAATATATTTTTCTTCCAGGGAGTCCACCTACTCTAAAGAATCCTCAAATCCTAGTATAAAATAAACCATCAATTCTGTTATTGCTTTTGATTAGTAAGAAGTTAAATTGTGGGAAAATCTCTCAGAGGAAGCTTCAAGCCCTAAATTCAGATGACTCAATCAGCTCAGAAAAGGCAGGAGAGGGACTAACGTGCAGCAATAAATTATAGGTTCAGATTGTTTAAGTCAAACTATCAGGATCTTAATCTCGAATGTGCTGTTTCTAGTTGCATGACCTTGGACAAATCATTACTGTACTCTATACTTCAATTACTCCATTGTAAAATGGGAATAAGTTCACAAAATTGTTGCAAAGATTAAATGTTTATATATATATGGCTTCTGAGAGACCACTTGGCACATAATAAGCATCTGTAAGAATTAGCTGGTTTAGAAAGTTGAAAAAACTATAAGAGAACAGCTATTCTGCAAACCAAAGAGTTATGAAGTTGTCCCAAGACATCTAGCACAGTGCTTCTCAAGAGGTTTTGTTTTTAATCTTTCTCTGACTGACGTTTTGTAAAACGCAAGATTACATGCTTGAATGTCACAGGAAACTAAAAGTTTCTAAATGTTTACTCTCACTTTCTGTATTTCTCATCAAAGTCCAATAGTGTTCACTGTTTGTGGACTGGCATTTGTCTGAAGACTGATCTTTGAGTAGCACTGTTCTAAGCACACGAGGAGGACTCAGAAGATGGCTGCAAATTCAACTAGCAGGTTAAACAGAATTATGAAAAAATTTAGTAAAGAATACCAACCCCAACAGCAGGGCAAGAGGATGACTTGAAGGTCAACACGCTGACAGATAAAATAACTGAACAGGCTAAACTAAAAAGCAAAACTGGCTACAGCAAAAACACAACTGGTATTTCCCCCCACCAGTGCTCCAAGAGATGACCCTGAGAACATGTTGTCCAGAAAGTCATCAGCCCTAAGAGGGGACAAGGGACATTAAGGAAGAAGAATTGAGCTGAGCCTCTTGAGTCATCACCACCAAACATCAACCACATGTCACAAAGGCCAGTTTCTTCTCTGACAAAGAAAATATGCAATCATTTCCTTTGGTGATGTGGCACTACATACATGCACACCACATATTCACAGTCACCCACCTGTGGTCTTAGGAGGCTCCTGAGGCCCACCCTGCCAGCCGTACTGTGGATATCCTGGGTAGGGGTACCCCTGCTGAGGTGGGTAGGGCCCTGCCGAAGGCCCCATTGGTTGTGGTGGATAAGGTGGATAAGGTGGATACGGGGCCGACGGACCTGGGCCTGGATATGGTGGAGGGTTCCCTGGATTCATCAGGGAGCTTCAAAGTGCACCTAAGAGACAAAAAGAGTAGAAATTATTTGCATTTAACCTATGGAAATTATTAGGGGAAAAAAATCCCAAATCATGTGATCTTTTACAAAATGCCTTAAAGTTGTCTCAAAACTCTCGCAAATCCCTAGTTTTGCCCATTTTGTTTCCTTCTCATTATCACAATTGGGAATTATGTCTCTGTTTATTTGTCTTTTGTCTGTCTCCTCTACTAGATTGTAGATAATGAAAGGAGGGATCAAGTCAATTTTAGATTACTACCATGTTGCATGTGGCACATTCTGAGGAGTCTTGAGTCAGGAGGATCCAAGTTCCAGGCCAACCTCATTAACTAAGTGAGACCCTGTCTCAAAAAAAAAGTTAAAAAAAATAGGTATACAGCTCAGTGGTAAAGCACCCCTGGGTTCAATCCCCAGTGCTCCCTACACACACACACACACACACACACACACACACACACACACACACACCCCACCCCGCCAAAAAAAAAAGAGACTTGTGCAGTCTCGCCACAAGGCAGGTCCGTAAATAAATGTGTTGATGAATAACAAGATATTTTTAAAATTTCTTGAAATGTCCAGAATGTGGCTAGATAAGTTTAAGGTGGTAGAAACTCTAATAGCACTATGAATTAGATCCATAGAAACTGACCCCTTTTAGAAACTCTCCAGTAAATAGGGTTGGGTCACATTGGGGTCTCCTGTCAAGCAGCAGGCCAGCAGTGATCAACCAAGACTGTAAACTGGCCCTGCCTTGGGGCAACAGGTTGATCTGTGCACTCTTCTCAGACTCACTTCTCTGAGCAGATGCATAGAGCTGCCTATGGAGAATGCTGAGTACCTCCTTTGACCATGCAGGCTCCCAGGGCTCTGGAGACCTCATCAGGAACCCTCACTTATGTTTACAGGTTCCTGTTCTCCAGGTTTGCTTCTGTGAGGCAGGCTATGCTTCCCAGCCCCCAAGTTCATAAAAGATTCTCTTGACTGTACTTAAAAGCTCTGAGGGTCAACATCTCGTTTCCGTCCTTCTGTAATCTCCACAGAGCATGGCGCAATGACTTTCAGACTAAAAGCAGACAAACCATTACTGGAAAAAAATTAAGTATACTTTCTACACATGACTCACTTAAACAGCAGGATGCCTGTTATACTGCTGCCTATACTGTTACTCAACTCCTATATTGATATTTAACTTTTTGAGTGTGTCCTATCCCTGACTAAAGAGCAAGAGTCTCATACTCAAGATTTAATAATTTCACTACTAATTCTTTTTCATAACATTCAGTCAGTAAATTCAGCAACTTCATATGAAGGACAGATTGATCCCTAAGTAATATTGCCTAGAAAATCTGGATTAAAGTAACAGTGGAATTTTCTGGTTGCCCACACAACATCCATGTTCTCCCTAATAGTCAGCTTTCCAGTTGAGGGAAAGCTCATCTCATCTTAGTTCTAGGATGAGCCCATCTTGTCTAAGCCAACACAGGGCATTACCTCCCCTCTTTCATTACAATGGATTCAAGGAATACAGGATCAACCCAATCACAAATGGCATCCCCTGGCCACTGAGACTGGTTCTGAAGTGGTTCAGTCTGTAAAAACCTCTCTTCACATTCCCACCCATGTTCCCTTCCCCTTAACACAAGCCCACGCAAAGTCTAGGAAAGACAGGGCCTACAAAATTGCTGACAACCAATCTGTCAGCCTTAAGATGAAGTGGGCACTTCAGAAAGGCAGAGCAAAAAGAAGAAAAGATGACTTTATAACAGCTCATAAATCAAAGACTGAAGCCAGCCTAACCTAAATTACCTCTATAGAATTTCCAGTCCTGAGAACCAATGGTAAGGTAAGCTAATGAGCCCTTTCGAGTGATATTTACCCTATTTACCAAACATACATTTATGCAGTGCTGACTCAGTGCCTGACACTGGGTAAGTAGTGCTGGATGGATGTTAATATGGCTCAAACCCTTTCCCTGGGCAACTGGGTAAACAGACTGCTGAAGGAGGGGCTTATGCCCAGCAGGAGGAGGTGGGGATGGAGACAGTCCCTTGAAGGAGGCAAGTATAAATTGAAACTTTATCACATGGAATCAGGACAGCTTGAGAGTCCCTACTGTGATTAGAGCTGCATTCTGGCCCCATTTTGGAAACTTATTTTTCTAGGACCTTAGCGGGACAGAAAAACAAAAACAACAACAAAAAACTTAAGTTCTCCCCCTTCTCTGATCTCTGGTCTATGTCAACGTGGCATCATACCCTGATCTATAGGAAGCCTTTGTGCTTACCCTAATGCAAAAGTTCATGGTGACTAACACTATAGTCATCACCTGAATCGGGACACAGATAAATGCTGGCCACTTCTGCATTATTTCTTTTCTCCTATCAGGAAGGTTTTGGAAAATCTAGTCAGCCCTGGTTAACCAAAATCGGTCTCATTACCCTGCTATGTCCATTATTTATTTTTAAATCACAAAAGTAGAACACAGCTATCATAACTACTCTGTCCTGAAATTCAGTGTATGTGACCTAATTTTATTAAAATCGTAGTTGAACTTTATCAGTCTGACAAGACTGTACAAAGATCTCACTCTAGGCAAAGTCTGGAAGTATATTTCTCTGAAGACATTATTCTTCTAAGAACAATGAGCAGTGAGAAAAAATGAATGAAGAGTAGAGAACTACAATTTCAGATCTCCATGTTTCGTGTCTTTTCTTGATCTATCTGTTTGTATCAATTCCTCATTATCCTATGCAATTCTTTCCTGGGGCCTTCAAAACTCTTTTCCAAGTACACATACATGTATTCCTCCCTAAATCCTGTTTTTCCCTCATTTATGGTGTGTCTCTTTCTCCCTCTGTCTGAAGAATCACGTAATGTCTAGAGGGAAAAAGGCACCTGCTTTTATTCAGAGGCACTTAGAAAAAGCATCAACCACAAAGGTGCTCCTGCCACCATCATCCCCTCCCACACACGCACTCCCTCCCTATTCTCCCAGAACAGATGGTCATCTTGGAGGAATAAAGATCTGGGTCTATTTTCAGTTTCCTCTAAGCAGGGAAAAAAGTCCCAGTAAGAGAACAGCAGAAGTCACAGAAAGAGCATCTGAACAAAATCAAAGATCTTAGGGCTGGCATTTGAAAAGCAAGACTTCACCCAGTGTGAATCAATTGTTCCCAAGCTGGGAAAGAAACAAACCAAAGTAAAAAAGATTACCTAACAATGACGTGAACCACTTAATATAACCAAAACACAAACAAGGATTAAGTTTATTGTATGATCTGAACTTTGTAAGGTGACTGCTTGCTCTTATAAATTTGGTCAGTAAAACGTAAGCCCTACTATAGTGAAGTCTTACACTAAGGATCAAATGTAAACAGTGGAAATTATAGCATTAAAGACAACTCAGACCTCAAAAAGGGATAGCTCAAACAGTGCAGCAGCCAAGATCCATTAATAGCCTATTGAATACTGCTACCCCACGATCCCATTAAGGCACCGCTCAATCACAGGATTAGCAGTCATTCAACCACACAATGAGAAGGGCAGAAACCATTCTTTGTGAAAGTGGTCCACAGAGATACAACACTTTTTTTTTTAAAGACCTCATCAAAGCAGCGATCCAGGAAATAAAAAATAACAACTTTGAAAAATATTAAGTTACAATCTAGGTAGCCAGACTGGTATTGACTGCAGGCAGTACAGTGAAGTTGCCTCTAGACAGTATCAATGGAAAAAAAAAAATGACAGATACTAATACTTGAGGGGGACACCAAAGAAATGACTTATTCAATCACCGGTAAAGGCCATGTACCCAGAACCTCTAATTGATTTTTTTTGTTGTTTTTTTGTGGTACTAGGGATTGCACCCAGGGCCTTGTGCATGCAAGGCAAGCACTCTATCAACTGAGCTATATCCCCAGCCTCTAATTAATTTTTTATTGCCTCTTACATAAAGGAATACACACAGATAATTAGACATTAGAGAAAATCCTCCCATATGAAAGACAGACCAAATAATATACAGAGTAGAAAAAAAACTCAAATATCCAAAAAAAGAAAAAAACAGTTAAATACATTATGATGTATCTATATTATAGTTATATGAGGTTTTTTTTTTTTTTCTTCTTCTTCTCCTTTTTCTTTAAATGGTGTTGGGGATTGAATCCGGGGCCTTCTGCATGCCAGGCAAGTGCTCTACCCCAGAGCTATACCCCCAGCCCTCAGTTTTAATTTATGCTTTTGAAGTATGATAGAATATTGTATAATAAAAATTTAAAAGCTAGTCAGCATGATCCCAACTTTTTTAAAAATACTGATAAACGATCAATTTAACAAGAGTCCTACAACAAACCAACACAATAGTCGCCTAATTTAACAGAAAGTTACAATTGCTACTATTCCAACAGGAAAAGATAGTGTTTCCAATAAATAGTCTGAGTTAATTGGATATCCTCGTGTGTGTCTAGGTGTAAGAATAAACCTTAATCCCTACCCTTACACACAAAATACAATTCACAATATATCACAGACCTATAAATAAAAGCTAAAACAATCAAGTCTTTAGGAAAATGCATATCACATATTCACAACTTTGGGAGGATTTACCTTTAACCCAGCAAGTACACGTAGCAATGCATTTCTATATTATGAAAAACATCCGTAGGTGGTTTTGCTGTGCAAACACCACAGGATATATATACACAAACTAAGATGGCTACTACATCACTAGGTGATATAATCCCATGGGATCACTGTTATACTTGCAGTTAGTTGTTGATCAAAATGTATTCAGTGCATGACTGAGGACTGAGGGGAAGTTAGGGCCTAAATTCACTAAAGGACATATACAAGAATGTTTAAAGCACCTTTAGTTATAACAGCTCCAATCTGAAAACTATCCAAGTGTTCATCAATAAAACAGAAA